CCTTGCACAGTGCACTTAGCTGTGTATTCAAACAGTGGATGGTAAATAAACGAAACGCCGATGTATTAATCGAATTCTTCTGGCCTATTGCTTCTATGCGCACTCTCTCTTTATCCTCTATGCCCATTCTCAGGACAAAACTGCCTGAATGGCATGAGGCTTGCACGCCAGTCAATGAACTGGACACGAAAATCCAACACCTTCGGGAAGATGACATCAAAACCATTGTGGAGCAGGCAACGAAACTGAGGGAGGAGGCAACCACCGTGGAGGAGGTCATTCCCGAGCTCAAACGTTACCTCCACATGCTTAAGAACCTCATAACTGAGGTAATCTTAAACAGGCTTGGCAGAGCTTACATCCATGCGATTTATTTACTGTAATCTTCTAAACCTCAGAAATATTAGGTTGCGGTGAAATGCACACCTGACGATGACATACACTGCGCGTTCAAACCTTAATCTGCCTATAGCTTTCAGCAAAAATTTCTTGACCCGATGAGGTCAGACCCTGTTTGGTGCTATACGCATACATCATGTGTCCTGGCTCCATTCTATTAGGTTTAATCACCTTGGGCTGCACAATCCTCATGTGAGTGTGTACTCTTCTCCTTCTAAGATTCGTTCCACCTCTAGTCGACGCCCTACGGCTTTCATTTTACCGGTCGAAAAGTGCATTTTCACTTTTGTTTAGCTTTTCTTCTCTATTTGACCTACACTATCACCATGCTAAATAAATACATTCCTATCGTAGTTCATATCGCAAGCAGAAATGCCGCACGTGTAAGATAGGTCTGACCTATACTGTTGCAACTAGACTTCATTGCGCAGAACCCAATACAAACAAGAAAGATAAAGAAACAGCATTGAAGTCTTTGACTAAACAGGGCGCTGACCAAACTGGATTCACAGGGACCATAGAAGGCGTTAATTTGTATAGTCAGCACGCTACTGGCGGGATGATATTCCTATATGTATTACTAGGCAGACTAAGGCCATTTGAGGGTAACCAATGCGGTATTACCAGGACGTAAACCAAGGAAG